TTGGTGTTTACAGCGTTGGCTTGCCAGCATCTCTTATCTCTTTCTCCTAGGAATGGTACCCAACATATCTTGCAGAGTTGGTATTTTACTTTGTGTCCCTTTCATTCAGTTGGAACTGAATTGATTCCAGTAGGGTGAAAAGTGCAAGACCCAGGCCGGGCCAAGTGGTTCCCAGGACACCCTCAGCCACAGTGATGAGTTAATCAGTGAACATGAGACTTCAGCTGGTCCAATTAGAGTGAATCCTCGGATCTGTACTGAATTTACTGGGAAGAGATCTATTCTCTTTACTACTATACTTGAATTTGGGCAGATTGAGCAGGTCACTGGATAAAGCCCGATAAAGAAGACAACATAGGCGAGGGCAGAGCTAAGAGTGGAGACACACCAGGCCGGGGTAACAGTGTTTTGGCTCCTAGTTCAAGTCTCACCTGGGACTTTTTTACATAAGCTAACAAATTCTCCATCTTTAAAGCCTGTTTGTGTTAGGTTTTCTGTGTTACGCCCCAAGGAGCCTTGTCGGATATTCACAAAATGAGAGACCATATAAGAAATGTCTTGAAAATTAGGGTATAACTTACATCAGATACTTGTCTTTTTTTCTCCCCACCTTTCTCCACCAAAGCATACAGGCTGCTTTCTTGAAGATTCAAACAGTGCCAGTGGGCTAGTAATGAAGCTATGAAAGGCATGGGCAAAATAAAATAAAAATAAAAATAAAATAAATAAAAATAAGGCCTCTGCAGCTCATTGGTCTTCTGGTGGGGCTCCTTACTTTTCCCAGCCTTGCGGCAACCAGTTAACAAGCAGTCCTCTTCTGGATCCCAAGTGCTCACTAATTTATTTTGGAAAAGTAGCAGAGCTGCTGCCACAACCATCTAGAATCTCTGCAGGATGTGATTTGCAAGAACAACTTTGAGTATAATTCTCTTATCTTAGAAAACTACCATTTTATAGGCATACATACAGAAGAATACTACTTTGCTAAAAATAGGTTGCCCTAAGTTATGTTCAAAAAAATATAAAAGATCTTAAAAAGAAAGGTGAGGTCGATGGAAATTATGAAAACTTCCTTTTAGCGGAGGATAGTTAGAGCCTTTAAAATGTTAATAACAATAATCCTCGCTGATTTTATAGCATTCCATTTATTACTTCCAAAAACATTCACTGAATGCCTACTGTGCTAGATGTTTTGCCGACATAGATGAATCTGTTGTTCTAGCCCTCAAGGAACTCAGAGTTCTAGGAGGATAGATAAGACCATCTTTCCTTCCTCTGTTCATTCAGCCAAAAATGCCTGCCACAGGCCAGACACTGTTAGGCATTATGGATTGAACAAGAAAAAATATTAAAGGTAGAAATTGGGCCTGAATTGCCAAGGTTATGCATCGACAAAATACAAGGCAAAGAACCGAGTGAAGAGACAGACTCATTGGTGTGTGCTGGCCGAAATGCAGACAATGCAGACAGCGTCAGTTCTAGAAGAAGCAGGCTCCCACACTGCTTGGGGCTGTTGCTCTCTAATGGACAATGACTCTGACAAGGAGCTCTCTTCTCAACTTATTTTGAACTAATTATAAATTCAGAGGAAGGTGCAAAGAAAGTACATACAGGCCCTCTGTACCCTTCACCCCGTCTCTCTCAACAGCTACATCTTCCGCGCCGTATAGTATCAAAACCAGGGAACTGATATTGATATTGATATGATGTGTAAGTATAGCTCTTTGTCATTCTATCCTATCACGTGGATTGGTAAAAGCACCACCTTAGTTAAGATACAGAATTATTTTGCCATGCCCAAGATCTCCCTTGTGCTATCCCATATACACTATGGAGTATGATGCCTCCATCAGAAAGGATGAATCCCCAACTTTTGTAGCAACATGGACGGGACTGGAAGAGATTATGCTGAGTGAAATAAGTCAAGCAGAGAGCGTCAATTATCATATGGTTTCACTTATTTGTGGAGCATAACAAATAGCATGGAGGACATGGGGAGTTAGAAGGGAGTTGGGGGAAATTGGAAGGGGAGGTGAACAATGAGAGACTGTGGACTCTGAAAAACAATCTGAAGGGTTTGAAGAGGTGGGGGGGTGGGAGGTTGGGGGAACCAGGTGGTGGGTATTAGAGAGGGCACAGATTGCATGGAGCACTGGGTGTGGTACAAAAACAATACAGTTATGTTGAAAATAAATTTAAAAAAATGATTAAAAAAAAAAAAGAACAATGCCCTTCAAATCCAGCTGTGAATTCATTTGTCAACAAAACTGTTAGAAATCAAAAGTGCCCGGATGAGCTTGCTCCCCCTGATTTCTAAGTATGAAGGAAGGTAGGGAAGCACGTGCTTCCAGGGTGTATATACAAGACAACTTACCAACAGGTACAAGAGAAAGGACTTCAGTGGAGTCTGGTTTTTGTTGGCAGTGCTACTGCAATAGGCGAGGTTTTGATCGTCATTCAATATAGTTCAAGAGTATTGGTAAGATGTGTTAATATTGAGTTTATTTTAAAAAAATACACGTGCAGTCATTACCTCTGTATCCACCACTAACTAATGTCTAAAGAGAGGTTATGTAATCCCCAAGAGTTGGTACCATGTAAGAGAACATCTAGTGGCTACCCCAGTGAACGGTTGGCAAAAGTAAGTAGAGATCTACTAAAACGTCTGGGAAGAGCAAATTTACCAGTTCAACCTATCTAAAGCAATCATATCTTTCATATGGAGAAGCACCACTTTGGGGAACAGTATCAACAAATCAATATGTTCGTTTTTCACCCAATATTCTCCACAGTCGGTAATCTGAGTCACACTGTGTGCATTATACATACAGCTTCTTCACAGGGTTTTCAATAACTTAGAATAAAATTTTGGCCACTTTTCAAGGCAAAATGGTTTAATCTTCAGGATACAGTTCTCTTGTGGAAAACCATTGTCTTGGACATCTGCTGAGTAACTAATAGAATCATCTGTGTATGTGCAAAGTTAGGCTTATACAGAGGACATCTTTCTGTGCCAGGAAAAGCACATGCTAAACATAAAAGAAATCATTATGAACTGGATTAATAGATGTATAGAGAAAGAAGTTGAGAATCTGCCATTGGTAAGATCTGGCAACAGGTGCAGGATATTCAAACCCTAATTTCTCATGAATGAGGAATGAACATCTGCTCAGAATAGCAATGGAAGGGAATATTCGGATTTCTACTAAATACACTTGCAACAACAGGAGCCATGGGATCATAACCAAGACATTTTTTCTGTATCCATTCATGTGCTAGTTAATACTCCAGTAACTCTGAATTGAGCAGTATTCTACAGTAAAAGCGCCGATTCGGGTTGTGCATTCTGATCACCGTTGGAGCTTACTTAAAATGCGGATACCTATTTCACACCCTAGGAGTACTGAATCTGAAAATTCAAGAGTGATGTTCTAGAATATGTATTGTTGCAAAGCTCAGCCATTGATTCCAATGTGCAGCCAAGTTTGGAAACCACTGGTTTAAATGCTGTTTGGTAGAATAGCTCCAGAACTAAATTTACCATTGCCTTCCTTGGTTCTCAGGCTACTAGCCATCCAATCCGTTCCAACTTCCCTCTCTATATATTTCTTCAATCCATTTCCTTCTCTCAAGTCTTACTGCTACTGTCTTAGTTCTGGGCATATGACCCTGGACCATAGCAGTAGTTAGTTTCAGTCTTGCATCTGGAGGGCAGTGACATATTGTATCACCAAGAGCCATCCATGGATGAGCCTCACAACAGCCTTATTTGGAGGACACTATGCAACATAGTTCTGCTCCTGATAATAGACATTACTGAAGAGATCCTGGAGGCGACCTGAAGCACGAGTGATTAGACAGCTGGGAGAGAGCAATGTGTTGTCTGAGAAGAGGCAGGAGTAAAGCAAAAATACGTCAAATTGATGGACAAAGAAGATGTGGTATATATGTACAATGGAATACTACGCAGCCATCAAAAGAAATGAAATCTTGCCATTTGCGACTACGTGGATGGAACTAGAGGGTATTATGCTTAGCGAAATAAGTCAATCGGAGGAAGACAACTATCATATGATCTCCCTGATATGAGGAAGTGGAGATGCAATGTGGGGGGGTTGGGGGCTAGGAAAAGAAAAAATGAAAGAAGATGGGATTGGGAGAGAGAAAAACCATAAAAGACTCAATCTCAAAAAACAGACTGAGGGTTGCCGGGGGGAGGGGGGATGGGAGAGGGTGGTGGGGATATGGACATTGGGGAGGGTATGTGCTATGGTGAGTGCTATGAAATGTGTAAACCTGGCAATTCACAGACCTGTACCCCTGGGGATAAAAATACATTATATGTTTATTAAAAAAAATAAATTAATTAATAAAAAAGAATACGTCAAATTGGATATTTGATTTTATGTCTAATTTCCTCAAGAAATATTTATGTCCTTGCAATGTGTGGAGATGATAGGGTTATATTTAAATCTGACTTGTCATATCCTTACTGAAAATGTTTCACTAATTCCATACCCCACTGACCTTGTCATAAATTCTAGATCTTTGTATGCTACTTGATGCACTGTATGATTTGTCCCTGACTACCTCCCTTCCTTCATCTTCACCTATTTTGAAAGTTTTCCTTTAATAATATTGAGCTTCGTAAAGTTTCATCAATATACAATGTTATTCTATGCTCTATGCTTTGGTATATGTTGTTTCTTCTGCTTGAACCATTCCTATCCATTCTATTCATTCATATTTTCAATTCAGAGGCCATCTCCTCTGAGAGTCTGCCTTCAAACACCCTCACACTAGACATTTAAATATTTACTCTTTTGCTTCTTCAGTATTTTGTAGATACTTCTGCTTTGACATTAATCATTAAACTAATTATTTATGTGCCTATATCCCTACTACGTGATCAGTTCCTTGAAGCTGTTTTGTTTTTTCTGCTTTATTTTTCCATATCCTTAAATATTTTTGAAACATTAATTAAAATTTCTTTGCGGCCGGTGCCTCCTTTGCCAGCACATATACTAAAACTAGAATGATATAGAGAAGACTAGCATGGCCCCTGTGCAAGGATGAAACACAAATTTGTGAAGCATTTCATATTTTTGTATGTAAGTGATGAATCCCTAAATTCTGCTCCAGAAACCAGTACTGCACTCTATGTTAACTAAAATTTAAATTTAAAAAAATTTCACTGATGCCAAATATTTCATAATGTATGACTATTCTTGAGATTCTGGAATTTTAGGATTATTCCTATTTTCTCTTTTATACATAATGCCACAAAATACATCTTTATGTACGAATATTTGACTGTTTCAGTGTATATTTCTTTTGGGAATATTTAAAGGATTTGGTTTAATGCATCAATAAATATGGACTTTCTTTTTCTTTTTTTTTTTAAAGACTTTATTTATGTGTTTGAGAGAGTGAGAGGGCACAAATGAGGGGATCAGAAGAGGGAGAAGCAGGCTCCTGGCTGAGCAGGGAGCCCAATGTGGCACTCAATCCCAGGACTCTGTGATCATAACCTGGGCCAAAGGCAGATGCTTAATGACTGAGCCATCCAGGTGCCCCAGTAAATATGGCTCATAAGACCTTTTGATTCTGACTGTCAAAGAGCTCTAAAGAAAAAGTGAAAATTTTGAATTCTCACCAGCAGTGTGTTAGGACTCTTTACATTCAATGATATTTATAGACCATCTTCTCTTTTCTATTGACACATTAATCCTTGATAAAGTTATGTAGTGCCATACCTCTAAAAACAGTTTATTTATAAAAGTATATGGTATGTATACATATATATAACTCATACATCTAAATTTATAAATTTATTCCTAAATCTGTATTTCTGTCAGGCCCTATACTCCTGACTCATATATTCAACTGCCTATTTGATACTTCCAGAGAATTCATCAAAAAGTAACTGAAATTTAATTACAAGTCAAAAAGAACAAACATTTCCTTTGTCACTTACTATATATGATATTTAAAATTATACTTCAAATTACATTTTAGAATTCTAGAGAGCTATAACAAGATACCTAGGAATAAACCTAACCAAAGAGGTGCAAGACCTGTACTCTGAAAACTGTAAAGCGCTGATAAAAGAAAGTGAAGAGGACACGGAGAAATGAAAAGACATTCTGCGTTCATGGATTGGAAAAATAATATTGTTAACATGTCTATACTACCCAAACCAATCTACATATTTAATGTAATCTCGATCAAAACACCAACAGCATTTGCACAGAACTAAAACAAACAATCCTAAAATATGTAAAAAACCACAAAAGACCACACATTTCCAGAGCAATCTTTAAAAAGAAAAGCAAAGCTGGGGGCATCAGAATTCTGGACTTCCAGTTATATTATGAAGCTGTAGTAATCAAAAGAGTATGGTACTGGCACAAAAACAACTCACAAATCAATGGAACAGAACAGAAAAGCATGAAATAAACATATAATTCTATGGCCAATTAATCAACAAAGCAAGAAAGAATAACCAATGGGAAAAAGTCTCTTCAAAAAATGGTGTTGGGGAAACTGGACAGCTACGTGCCAAAGAATGAAACTGGACCACTCTCTTACACCTTAAAAAAAGATAAATTAAAAATGGATTAAAGATCTAAATGTGAGACCTAAAACCATAAAAATCCTAGAAGAGAAGACAGGTAGTAACTTCTTGGACATTAGCCATAGCAACTTTCTCTAGATAGATCTCCTGAGGCAAGGGAAACAAAAGCAAAAATAAACTATTGAACTACATCGAGATAAAAAGCTTCTGCAAAGCAAAGGAAATAATCAAGAAATCTAAAAGGCAACCTACTGAATGGGAGAAGATATGCGCAAATGACATATCTGATAAAGAGTTATTACCCAAAATATGTAAAGAACTTACAAAACTCAATACCCAAAAAACAAATAACCCAATTAAAAATTGGGTAGAAGACATGAACAGACATTTCTCCAAAAAGGATATCCAGATGGCCATAGACACTTGAAAAGATGCTCATTATCACTTATCCTCAGGGAAATGCAAATCAAAACTACAACGGGGTATAATCTCACACCTGTTAGAATAGTTAAAACCAACAACACAAGAAACAACAGGTGTTGGCGAGGATGTGGAGAAAGAAGAACACCTGGGGTGTCTTGCTGGCTCAGTTGGTAGAGCATGTGACTCTTGATCTCAGGGTCGTGAGTTCAAGTCCCACACTGGGCATGGAGTGTACTTAAAAAAATTAAACAAAACAAAAACAAAACAGAGTACAGAGCTCAGATATGGATCCTCAACTCCGTGGTCAAATAATCTTCAACAAAGCAGGAAAAAATATCCAGTGGAAAAAAGATAGTCTCTTCAATAGATGGTCCTGGGAAAATTGGACAGCTATGTACAGAAGAATGAAATTCAACTATTCTCTTATACTACACACTAAGATAAACTCAAAATTGGTGAAAGACCTCAATGTGAGACAGTAATCCATCAAAATCCTAGGGGACAACATAGGCAGCAACCTCACTGACATTGGCCACAGCAAATTCTTTCAAGACACATCTCCAAGGGCAAGAGAAACGAAAGTGAAAATGAACTTTTGGGACTTCATTAAGATCAAAAGACTCTTCACACCAAAGGAAACAGTTAACAAAACTGAGGCAACCCATGAAATGGGAGACAATATTCGCAAATGACATTACAGACAAAGGACTGATATCCAAGATCTATAAAGAACTTCTCAAACTCAACACCCAAAAAACAGATAATCAGTCAAAAAATGGGCAGAAGTCATGAACAGACACTTCTCCAATGAAGACATACAAATGGGTAACAAACACATGAAAAAATGCTCATCATCATTAGCCATCATGGAAATCCAAATCAAAACCACTTTGAGATACCACCTTACACCAGTTAGAATGGCAAATATTAACAAGGCAGGAAACAATAAATGTTGGAGAGGATGTGGAGAAAGGGGAACCCTCTTACACTGTTGGTGGGAATGCAAGTTGGTGCAGCCACTGTGGAAAAGAGTGTGGAGATTCCTCAAAAAATTAAAAACAGAGCTACCCTAAGATCTGGAATTGCACTACTGAATATTTACCCCAAAGACACAGATGTAGTGAAAAGAAGGGCCATATGTACCCCAATGTTCATAGCAGCAATGTCTGCAATAGCCAAACTGTGGAAAGGGCTGAGATGTCCTTCAACAGATGAATGGATAAAGAAGATGTGGTCCATATATACAGTGGAATATTACGCAGCCATCAGAAAGGATGAATGCCCATTATTTGCATTAACATGGATGGGACTGGAGGAGATTATGCTGAGTGAAAGAAGTCAAGCAGAGAAAGTCCATTATCATGTGGTTTCACTTACTTGTGGAACATAAGGAATAACTTAGAGGACATTAGGAGAAGGAAAGGAAAATTGAATTGGGGTAAATCAGAGGGGGAGATGAACCAGGAGAGACTGTGGACTCTGAGAAACAAACTGAGGGTTTTAGAGGTGAGGGGAGTGGGGGAATGAGTGAGACTGGTGGTGGATATTAAGGAGAGCACACATTGCATGGAGCCCTGGGTATTATATGTAAATGATGAATCTTGGAACACTACATCAAAAACTAATGATGTATGGTGACTAACTTAACACAATAAAATTTTTAAAAAAAGAGAAAGGAACACTTGTGCACTGTTAGTGGGAATGCAAACTGATATAGCTACTTTGGAAAACAGTATGGAAGTTCCTCAAAAAATTAAAAATAGAACTACCGGGGCACCTGGATGGTGCAGTGGGTTAAAGCCTCTGCCTTCGGCTCAGGTCATGATCCCAGGGTCCTGGGATTGAGCCCCGCATCGGGCTCTCTGCTCGGCAGGGAGCCTGCTTCCCCCGTCTCTCTGCCTGCCTCTCTGCCTCCTTATGATCTCTGTCTGTCAAATTAATAAATAAAATCTTTAAAAATAGAACTACCTTACCATCCAGCAATTACATTAGTGAGTATTTACCCAAAGAATAAGAAAACACGAATTTGAAAAGATATATGCACTCCTATGTTTACTGCAGCATTATTTACAATAGCCAAGGCATGGAAGCAGCACATGCGTCCGGTGATCAATGAGTGGATAAAGAAGATCTGGTACACACACACACACACACACACACACGCAGAGGAATGTTATTCAGCAACAAAAAAGAATGAGATCTTGCCATTTGCAGTGACATGGCTGAAGCCAGAGAGTATGATGCTAAGTGAAATAAGTCAGAGAAAGGCAAATACCATATGATTTCATTCATATGTGGAATTTAAGAAGCAAATCAAGCAAAGGCAAAAGATGAGAAAGACAGAGAGACTCAAAGCGAAAACCAGACTTTTAATTATAGAGAACAATCTGATGGTTACCATAGGGGAGGAGAAGGGGGACATGGGTTAAATAGGTACCAGGGATGAAGGAGGGTGCTTCTTGTGGTGAGCACTGGCTGAGATATGGAAGTCTGAATCACTCTATTGTACACCTGAAACTAATATTACACTGTATGTGAACGAACTGGAATAAAAAAACAACTTTAAAAAAAATAAATAAAACGTAAAATTCCAGAGAGCTGATCAATAGCCACTAGTACATCCTTTTGTTGTTGTTGTTGTTTTAAAGATTTTATTTATTTATTTATTTATTTATTTTAAAGATTTTATTTATTTGACAGAGAGAGAGATCACAAGTAGAGAGAGAGAGAGGAGGAAGCAGGCTCCCTGCCTAGCAGAGAGCCTGATGTGGGACTCGATCCCAGGACCCTGAGATCATGACCTGAGCTGAAGGCAGAGGCTTAACCCACTGAGCCACCCAGGCAGCCCTAAAGATTTTATTTTTAAGTAATTTCTACACCCAACATGGGGCTTGAACTTAAAACCCTGAGATCAAGAGTCACATATTCCATTGACTGAGCCAGCCAGGTGCCCCTGTCCTTTTAGTTTTAAATGATTTGATTTTGTACATTAAGTTATTTGATCTACCTGATTTTGTTATAAAGTACAAGAATTATCTATATTTATGTTTTCAAATAGTTCATTTAATTAATTATGGAATAATCCTGAATTCTTTAAGATTTTTAAT